TGTAATTTTAGATCTGTTCCAAGGCTGTCCAACAGCTGGAGGAAGGAGCCTGAGTTCCCTTACAGTGTGGATCTTTAGGGAAGTGTGTAACCTCAGTCTTCTAGTCTCTCTCATGTTTGATACAGCATCTAGAGATGTAACAAGAGTCTATTGTTCTTGTAGTTTGTCTCATTTTTCTGTTGATCATCTATCATGAAAATGGTGAGAGTGGATTTCTCATACTTTAACTCATGTTTTTATTCAGAATTCATTTTTTATCAGTTACTATTTGCCCGGAACAGTGGAATGAGAAAATGACCTTTCAGGATTGATATGCTATGTGAGTTTCTGCTGCTAAATGAGAAGCAGTATTCTCTCAAAATAAAAAAAACTATCCCTCTTTGCCCAAGTGAATATGGTCTTCCTATTTTCTGAGGCTTGTTGGGCAATGCTGAGAGTAGAAATTTTTCACTAGGCCCTGTGTCAAACATCTTGCATCATCCAGTTGATCTTTCTCTTTTGGAAGCTGATCATGTCCAAGGTATACAGAGCATGGAGGAAGGTGAACCTTTAATTTAATCTGTATTCTCCATTTTAAGTGGTTTGCTTATGACCATCACAGCCCCAAGCCTCTGATGGGAGACCTCTAAATAGTTACATTTGGAGTAACTGGTTTAGTTGATATTAATTTTTTAATGTACATCATCCAATTAGTGGCACAGATTTCTATATATTACTCTTTTAAGTATCCAGAAAAAAAGTTGTCAGTGGGGTTCTCTTGTATTCAGAGCTGGAAGCAAAACACTTCACCATGTTGCAGGTGCCAGCTGAAGTCATGTTGACTTCGCCTTTGTTTAAAGAAAGGCTACTGTCCTGTGTTGAAATGTATTCCTAGATATAATAAAGTTATAACAAAATGTGTACTCAGTATGTTATTAACAGGGAGTTTTTATTAACAGTTACTACATTTTTCAATGTCTCAAAACAAATCTGCAGCTGAAAAGCCTCAGAGAAAATTTCATTAGAAAATTAAGTGTAATTCACACATTATTAAGAAATACCATAAAAAAGATCTGCCTGTTTAAGGTTATACTTGCCGTCTTAGGCAGTGAAGGAATGCTATTACATACCCTTGCTGTCCCTAAACACTATACAATATTTTGTTATTAATTTCAACTACTTACTGCCTTTACATACCCTTTTACATTGGATAAATTGATATTATATTAATACATGCTTTGCTTTTCAGTAGAAGGGCATTAATGAATCCCACCTAAAATATAACTGCATAAAGGATTATTAAAATTAAGCTGATTTATGATCTTAATCTGTTTTAGTCACCTTCAGAATTGGTCTTTTTCATTCAGTTGTGAAAAAAGAGCATGACCTGCAAGCAGATGTCAGAGCAGTCTGAAAACATACAGCAGAAAGTTCTACTGTGCCAGTTTTATGTCAGAAGATTTGAAGAATATAAAGTTAAGTTGTAGTTAATATAAACAACAAAATGCTCAGTCCCCAAGTTTCTACTGGTTAAAGCTGTGTTTGAATGCCATGTGGTAATGCACTGTCTTCATTTTCTGTGATTAAAAACTCTCTGCTCAGTCCACTTATAATTTGATAGTGGAAATCATCGTTCTTATATTTATGTAGCATAAACCATGGACTCTGCAAAAACCTTAATATAGTTGCATTTTAAAGGAAAAGTTGGATATTTAAGTTCTTGAAACTGATAAACAGATAATAAAAATTCTACATCAAATTCTAAAAATTCCAATATTTGATTTTCTACGAAGCAAGCAAACTTTTCTCTTGCTGATTCGAAACTTTTCACTGTTCTTTCATTTGACTGTAAATTCTGCTGAATATAAAAACAAGTGCTTTTTGAAAGCACTGAAGTCTTCTGAAACTTTTTTTTCTTGAAGAAAAGATGCCTTTTAAGTTCGGTTTTGTTTTTTCTGTCCTTGAAATGTAGTTTATTACAAAAATTGGAACTGCAATACAGTTTTATCTTATGTGCTGTAGGTTTTCACAATAATCTTAATCCTAATTCATCAAGTGACCTCTACAAATTGCAGGTTTTAAAACCTCTAGAGATCAAAATAATTCTAGATGATGCTCCAAGCCTTAAAGGATTATATCAAGCAGGGAAAAAGAGTCCACTGCAACAGGAAAACGGAAATCCACCACCTAATCAGTCAGTTTCTCTAGAGTAACTGCTGTCAGGACAACAATCTTGCAATATTTTTGCAGTAAAAATAAGTTCTCAAATTCTGGTCAACCTTTTCCTTTTATTATTTTACTGTTCATTATTTGAGTGGTTTATGGTTAAACAGCTATTTTCCCCTTGAATTTATTAGCTCTAGTTCATGAGGTATTTATTTCAAATCTCTTCTGATATTTAAGTCTGACTGAATTAAACAATTTGACTTGTGACCAGAGACAACATTACATCTGTGCCAGTTAGACTGTGATCTAAGCAGATAAGACAAGCCAATCCAAATCCAATTGACAGCGTTCTCAAAAAATGGTAAACGAATATAAGGAGAGAGAGAAGGCTACTCAGGTTTTGAGTGTTCATTGTTCCACCTAGTTCTCTAATTCTAAAAAATGTTGTGAACAATAAGGAGGAAAAAGACTGGAGGAAAGGAAAATTAACTCTCCATTACCTTCTTGAGAAGATGATGTTAAAATGAAAACTCTTCTCAAGACATTCCGTCAGTTTTCTTGCCTGAGTTCTCATAAGAGAGGCCCAAGGTTGCAATATCAAAGCTTAGTACTGGTTTAGAATTGAAAAAAATCAAATCCATAACATTTGGCTCAGTAGGAAAGACACATTTGTTGTTCCTTTTATTTGCAAAATAGTTCTTGCGTAGTTTATGGATGACCTAAACCTTTGGAAACTAAATGACTGCATGAGTCTGATTTTCCTTGCAGTCATACTAATATATAAATAAAAATAATCAGATCAAAACAATGTTATTTATTTTATTCAGTCTTCAAAGTAAATAAAGAAAAAAGATCCAGAAGATTAAATAAGTGGGAATTTTGAAATATTTATCTATTTTTAATATTTCAGCTTATCTCAAAAACAGATTCTTTTTTCCCATGGATTCTTTTCTAATCAGTAGTAGGTATATATTCCCTAAAGTAGAAAAATTATCACCAGCATGATATGTCTCAGAACCGTGTGTGCAAGTAAAGTTTGCAACAAGAACCAAAATTGTGATTTAGACTTTGTGCTGTTTTCTAAAAGCATATTTTCAAGAGATGATGTTTTCAGTGCTGTAGGTGGTAGTTTTCCAACGCCTTTTAGTGTACTCTTTCTTCTGGGACATCTGCTTCTATGCAAACATATATTTAGCAGTTCTGAAAATTTTGTTATCAACAAGGTTCCATGTGACAACAAACTCAGTGGAATGACAGGTGCCTGGTTCGTAGTGATCCTAGCCTTAGTGCAGGATGACAGATATGACATCCTACTGGCTCACTTTTTTCACTTACTGTTATCTGGACCCCTAGGTCTTTCCTTGACATATATATGACATGCCTCAGCAAGGCTTAATATGACAGAACTATTTACTTTATCAGTCCTGAGTGCAATCTCTCCTGACAATGAAATCAGACAGTGCAATTTAGTTAAATTTGAGCACATTCCATTTGTCAGAAGGCTGAGTAAAGTATCCTGGCATCCATCAAAAGAGAGAAGATAAGTTTTTTGCTCTTTCACATCAGATTTATGCAATGGTGTATTGATGTGCCTGACTACTTCCATCCCCACCACGTCTGATTTTTATTGTTGTCTTCACAATAAGTTAAGGAAGTCAGGCATTCTTTCCACCTTGACTTCACAGGTCACAAATATAAGTGATTTAAATGGTAGGAGAATTGTTTATGTCGTGACTAGGTAGCAGCTTATCCCTCCTTTAAGTATAGTGCAGAAAATTAAAGTAACAATTTAGGAAAAAGATGCTCAGAGAATCCTAGAAGGATTCTTGGAACATTCAGAATGTTCCAGGAAAGAATGTTTTCTTTCTTTATGTCATTTCACTAGAATTTTCTCAGTTCTAGAAACACTGAGATCGTTTTGGAGGCCCTGGAGAAGATACAGAGCAGATCCACACATAGTGTCAGGTTCCGAAACTCAGATGAGAAGCAGTAGCTGATTTGTTACCTTGGAGCTGGAAGTTAAGAAAGTAACAAGAACATTTCAGATAGTTCTTTTTAAAGTATGTGGGGAAGTTGCGACTGCATGACAAAACTAATATTTGGGAACTGAGTATTTAATTTTTTTTTTACTTTTGTCATCATTTTAATAGAAATATATCAGTAACATCTTTAGGCTAAGACTAGACTAAGTGTATGTTTAAGATACTATATACATGCTTATTTTTAATTGTTGTGACTTATATTTGATGTTCAAAAAAATGCCAGTGCTTTTGTTTTTTAAAAAGTTTTAGTTGCATCTTTAATGCTGCACCTATATGGAAGTCTTGATTACATGATGCTATTTGTCCATACAGGATGGGGAATCAAACTCTATCCTCACTATGCATGATTCTTGGGTGTTGCCTGCTGTGGCTTTTCTTGCTGTAGTTTCCCTTCCACCTTTGCTTTAAAATCACTTTTAGCCCTATTGTGCCTCTAGGAAAATAAACAGAAGATTCAAGGACATGAAATTTAACGATGTTTGACTAAGCTTCCCTATTTTGACAATAATACTTATTTTCTTGAATTAAGATACTGCCTTTTGAAAGGATTTGGGAGAATTATATGCTAAATTGTGTTCATATTGAGATGTAAAATCCTAGGACTTGAATTCAAAAGTTCAGCTCAAAAGTTAATTTTTTTACCCAATTGCAACCTGTTCTTTAACTGTATTCACAAGTAACTGTTTATCCTTTGAGGCAGTGAGAAAGAGGAAAGGAGAATTAACGTTAATGTTAAATGGAAATAAAGGTAATTGTCCAAAGACAAATCAGCATGAAGAGATATCAATGATTATTAAATATTTAATATTACAGGCCAGATGGAATTGGAACAGTATCTGTGGAAGAGAAAGAAAGGTTTGAGGAAATTAAGGACAGACTTTCCTCCCTTCTAGAAAACCAAATAAGCCATTTCAGGTGAGTGCATAATTCATTCAATGAATGATACATTTTTTCTGGAAGAATTTTCTCGTGGTATTTAATTTTGGTCTAGAACGGGTGGAGTGAAAATAAAATGGTCTGCTTGCAAAGGAATAGTTTATATATAGAATAATTTATTTACACAAATGGTTGTACTTGAAATTTATTTGTGTAATATGTGAGTTGATAGATATGGTAGAAAAGATTATGCAAGAATATAGGCCTTGATTTTGCTGATGTTTTAAAAGTTCAAGCTTTGTATAACTCTAACCAAGAAAATTGTCTGAATAAAAGTGACTATGCCATAACTATTTCTGGATTACTATGGATCAGTAAAATCATGACTAGAGAACATCTTTGATAGATGGCAGCTAAAACATTTCTTGATATCTAATGTCATTTTCTTGGTTTCATTATATACTTATCTTTATTTAGTTAAGGGTATCATGCTCACAGAAGACTTTGTCGTATTAAGGACTGTCAATAGCAGCAGAAGATGTTTAGAGAAGGAGTACAAGAAACAGAGGAAACTTAGGATTTGCTGCTATTTTGTAGCAATTGATGGTTTATGAAACTTAGTATAAAAATTGCAGGTAGACAGCTAAACCTGTTAATTTGTAACACTAAGCCAACCTATCTGCCCCTATTCTGTCAATTGAATCCTTTTAGACTGTATTTATAGAATTTTTTGTCTCTGTATTACATCTTAACAGCCAGTTCCACTGTTTAAATAATTATGTGTGAAACAGAACTTTGTTTTGGCAGGGTTGACTATGAGTTTGTTGAATGCTTCTCTGATTTCTTGAGGTAAATATTTAGTATTCAGTGGCATCATAGGTCATTGGGGATTTTTTAGAGCATAGAGGACATAACAGCCTTCACTTGGGATTTCATATCCATATTAAACTAAAGAGCTAGGGTTCTCCTTGGAGAGTGTTACTTTTGGGGAAAAAACAACGGTTTTTCCTCCCTTGTAGAGGAATAAAGAGCTCTTGCAAGGGAAATTATACAGAGTGCTCCCTACCTTCAGGCCTTCACATGCATGAGATTAATTACAAAATATATAATCAAGTCTAAATGATCATTTGAGTTGGAACAAATAAAAATTCCCATCATATCTGCTAACCTACACATTGGAGTTATGTTGATGAGCTTGGGCTGCAGCAGTGACCATAGAATCTTTCTGCCTCAGTCTTGGTGGATTTTGAGCAAATTTAAGCAGCATTAGAAATTCCTCCTTGAGAGCAATTAAATGTGTCATTCAAACATGAATGATTTCATCCTTCAGAGGACTCTGAGGTTTACCTTAAAATCCTATTTAACCAATACAGACAAACGTTCTCTGCCAGATGAAGAATAATTAGATGAATATATGAAGAAATAATGAAGATGAAGAATAATTACTATTTCTTACTGTGAACAAATATTGGAAATTAAATTTAAAAAAAATAGGTGAAGTATCTGGATTTTAAAAAGGATCCTGGCATAACAGTGAAAGAAAGAAAAAAGATATTGCCTTAGAATCTGAATTTATAAAGCATATGAAATCACAATGTAGGACATCCTGACAAAGCATTGGAAGTAATATTTTAAATAAAACCTAGACTCAAGACATGTATAAGGATCACCACTGTCGATTAACAGAGAATAACCTTGGCTGTCAGATTACTTTCTTGGGAAAGCATGGTATTAAAACAACTCCATATTTCAATTCTTCAAAATTTTTATGATAGATGAGAAATGCAGAATATTTGGAAAAATACATTCAACAGAAAGGATTTATGCAGAGTATGCACCAAATTTCTCTGCTTTGGCCTTACTGTTCTTGAATGCCCTGTATTCATTGTCATCAAGTAGTCCCACCATCTCCCAGCCTAGTGTCTTGCTTCCACTGTCCTTTTTACGGTAGTTTGGGCATCTATGCTGTTTATTTGTTATATTTCCTAGATTATTTCAGAGACTTTCATGCCCTCCATGTTCAGGTAAGTTTCATCATTTTTCAATGTCAGATGCTCTATGGTAATCTCTTTATCTTCCTCAAAGAATCACAGGGAGGGTGTCCGATTGTTTCTTACCACTTTGGTTTCTTAATTGTGGCATGCATTTGCCTCCTACTTTTTTGAATTTTACCTCAGGCTACTTGTAGATTTCTCACTTTTTTAAAATTGTATCTTTAAAGTTTTTGCTTTTGTTGTCCAAGTTCTTAATTTTTTTCATAGATCCCATTCTTGAAATTGTATATGCATGTACTAAAGGTACATGTACTGAATTTTGTGGCCTATTCTCTTTTGCTACATTATTAAATTGTATTGTCTTATGATTATTACTACAGAGCACTTCTTCTGCTCTGCACCTCTCAAACTATGTCCTCTTCACATTTGAGAGTGAATCCACAATAGCGTCTTTTTTGTGAGTTTTAAATTAGCTGTTCAAGGAAGCAATTCAAACTAAAATATTGTCATTATACCTTGTCCTAATGAGATATCAGTCAAGTATATATGCCTAGAGTTGAAATCTTGAATTTGCAGCTCCTCTAATCTCACTTAACATTTTGTAATCACACTGTTCATTTTAACTAGGGATTCAGTGGTACAGACTTTCAAGGATCAGCAGCAGCACTTTTTTTTTCTCTGTAATATGTTGATACTTTTATAAGCTTTGCCCTCTCTTAATTGCCTAGTGTTGTGTGCACTGCTCAGCTGTGATGGACAGTTCAACTGAGGAGTGCATGTCTCTTCCTGCCTTTTCAGAGCAGCTCTGAACGTTTGCTGTGTCCACCTAAGTGACTAGGTCACACCCATCTGAAAAAGACTCTCTCCCTTGCCTGCCAGCTGACCTGCAGCTTCCAGTTTTAATACTCCTCTATGGCCTTTTTAATTTTCATTTTCACTGCTATCAGCCTTGTTCCAGTATGATTAAGATGTAGTCAGCCCATCCTGTGCTAGTGGCTGTCATCTAAAGTAGTTCTTAAGGTACTTACACCTTTCCTCTCTGTCACCTTGTCTACCCACTGAGACTTCTCTGCCAGCCTCTCAGGCATCAAATGTGGAAGAGACAATATCTCTGAGAAAGCTATCATGAAGGTCTTGGACTTTAACCTCTTGCCTGGCTGTGTGAATTTTATCTCTGAAGTCTTTACAGAGATAAAAGCAAATACTGGAATTCTCGCTGCCAGAAATCATGTTTTGACCTAATTTATAAGGCTTTGTTTTGTAGACCTAAAATTCACTGGTCTGAATCCTTTTATCATTAAAAAAGATTTGACTAGTGGAAAATAATAGAATAGGAGGCTACCATTCTCAGTAAGTAATAACAAGAGAAAAATAATCTCAGCAAAGTAAAAAATCCTTTTTCCAATTGGGGATATCCCAGTAAGACTTTATATACAGGATTAAGAGACGTTACAGTTGCCTGAGCATTGTATTCTCATTGACCTGCTATATTGCATCATTCAGCAGAAAAAAAATAAAAAATAAAAAATAAAGCTATGAATGCAATCACTTTGTAATTTACATAATTTTAGGGATGGGTATGGTTTAAGCTGTAGCTGATAAAATTTAAGATAAGTGCTTTTCCAAGGTATTTTTAATATAATAGAAAAAATATTGAATATCTGCCAGCATTTATATCTCTAGAAATTAAAATATCTGATATTTTATCCTTGTCTTAATCCAATTTTAAAATAAAATACAATATACAGAATGCTGCTTTACAGGTCCAGTAGCAGTTATGGCTACATCAGAACCAGTACCTCTTTCCAGGAAGATGACAATTAAACTCATCAGGGACTTTTAAATATTCTTCATAGTTGATAATTTGGAAGTGATGCTTTCTGCCTTTTAGGGTTTTTTCTTCACTTAGGTCTGAAATGCTGGTAGGCTGATAGTGCTGTGATATGTATTGATGAGGCTTTCTGCTTTTGTTAGTACTTGGGTATGGGAGTCTTCTGCTAACATAATGCAAGTTGTATGCAGATGCATCTTAAAGTAAATTCATAAAGCAGCTTTTATAATTCTGATAATTTTATATTATTTTTTCCTTTTTTTTTAATTTTTAAGATACTGTTTCCCATTTGGACGTCCTGAAGGAGCTTTAAAAGCCACACTTTCATTACTTGAAAGGGTAAGTTTGAGAACATACTTTAAGTTCTGCATGACTGCAAATCCTGCATTTTTCGTTTGCATTCAGGTTGCTGAAAGCAGATTCATGTGTTCTCAGGTATTTTACTACTGGTTTTAACTTACTGCTTATTGGAATGAGTTTGGTTTTTTTGGGGTTTTTTTCTCTCATTGTCTTCCACAGAGGCAAACAGCTGTTTTCTGCAGGACTAATTTACTGGACTTTCACTTCAAGCCACTGAATTGTAGTCAGTAACTCTGTTCCTTTTTTATATAACACTTATTTAGCATTACCTCTAAAGTAGTACAAGTCTACTCTACAGCCACACTTTCCTGCTGTTTATGCCTTCTATGATGCTAATATGGTCTACACTCATATGTAATATTAAAAACCTTCTCTATAATTCAAATAATATTAAATAAATGTTGAGTCAATAAAATCTGAGTCAATTTAAGAAGCAAAAGCTATACACAGCAAATCTGACATGGGCAACTATAAATGTAAACTCTTTCCCAGCAAATCCTTTTGTATTGACTGGAAAGGAGAATACCTCACAATGAAAAAAGCATCTCAGTCATCTCTGTGGGAAAAGGATGTTAAATTCCAGCAGAGATTCCAAAGGAATTGTATCAGCAGGAGTCTGATGAAGGTATGAGTTCAAAAAAAAGCTTAGGTCCTAGGTTGTGTTGCTTTGCCAAAATCAGAGAGGTTTGGTCCTGGCAAATAGTTATCCTGAAGTGCAGAACACTTCATGGATAGGGATTCTCTCTTAGAAAACCTCTGCCATGTTCAGAAAACACACCGGGAGTCTAGATATACATGTTTTATTTCCCTTGCCATCTCAGTGATTGTAGTGCTGCGTAGGTTCCTTTGTGCTTTTTGAAACATGTGTTTCCTCTCCCCATTCCTGCTGTTACAAATGGTAATGCTGCTCTAACTGGTGCTCAAGCAGCACCGCTGCCAGTCTTGACTGGGAATCAGTGTGCTTCCTACATTTGTGGATGTAGAATGGGTTAGAACCATTTTATTTTACCTGTCTGAATAATTTGAAAAAAGAAAAAACAAGACAAAAAACAGACCAAGAACAAAAGGTTTTGAATACTGTAAATTCGCTTGTTGATCCCCCATAACTTACTAATTTTAAAAAGCAAGTAAACACAGATAGAGAAGTCATATTTGTGTGCAGGTATTCTAGAAGTCTGTTTTGCAGCAATGTCTCTCTAATAGTGTCTCTGTTGCTGAAACCGTTTTTATTCTACCAACTCCTTCCCCAGACTGTATGTCTTGCTCCCTCCTTTTAACAGTAACTTTAGATATATAAGGGTGTAGCTTGTCCAGGGATCCAGTTGAGAAGCATTTTTTTAAGGTTCTGAGTTATCTGAAACGTTATTATTTACATGAAATTATGTGAAAAATATAATGAGTTTTGTTTACACTCACCTGTTGAAAGCAGAATTAAAGTAAAAATGCAAATTAGCTATCAACAATATTTTATTTTCTAATACAGTAGTCCAGAGTATATACTCTGCATTCATATATATGCTGCATTCATATAAAGATGTATGGATTCTATGGTTTACCTCACTTGCAATAGGTGAGGTAACAACTCAGACGTTTTGAAAACATTCATATGGACTGTTCTTCTACTTGTACATAATAAAATATTCTGGTGGAAGTTCCATTTTTTTCCTGCCCACTATATAGATGACATTTTTTTCACAGCAAGGACATGTTGAATTTGAATAGCTTTACCCTGTTGAAGAGTCCATGGTTCTGCAATGGTGGAAGCTTTTCCACAGGTGAGAACCAAGCCAATTTCCACAATCACGTCTTTAGTGGTAACTGTGATCCAGCCCATCCAGGGAATGTTCTTGTTCTACTGGTCTCGATGTCACCCAGAGACTGACTGGAATGCTGGAAGATGCCAAACGGGGGAGATAAATGGTGTACAGGCAGTCAGGGCTGTCAAGTCAGGGCTGAACAGAAACCATCAAAGATGAAGATCCAGCTCCATCAGCTGAAATAGTTCTTTTATGACTTCTGCCTTTAATCGCTCTCAGATCTGTAATAACTTTAAGATACTTTTATCCTTTTCTGTGGGGTTTGGGTAATAATTGTAATGAGGTGGTATAATTGTCTCTGAAACAGGTTTTAATGAAAGATATTGCCACTCCCATACCAGCAGAAGAGGTGAAGAAAGTGGTTAGAAAATGTCTGGAGAAGGCTGCCTTGATCAATTACACTCGACTTACAGAATATGCCAAAATAGAAGGTTAGTACAGCAATCAACTGCTGAAGTGGCTGTAAAAGCCAACAATGCCTATTAACTGCATATTCCGTGAGCAGCCTTTTCCCTTTCCAGAACAAACCCCTTCCACAGCAAGGGGAAATGTCTCATTAAAATCTCAGCTGGTGAACTGTGGAGATTTTTCCTATTCATTGCTTTAATATGCCTCCTGGGACCCTGTTTGAATAAAAGACTAGAACTTCCTAATTTAAGTTGCCCTTTGTTCTTACTTTTGAGTTCTTCATAAATTTAAGAGATTGTTTATGGGTTATTTTTTATTTCTCTAGCTATTTCTAGTGATTAAACTACTGACAGGAAATTCTTTCCTTAACAGCAGTGTCACTGCCTTGAAATTTGAAAACTGTGTATAGATTCTCTTCTGAACTATTTATAAGGCAGCAAATACAAAAATGCTATTTATTTTTGCTGCTGTGTTACCAGATGTATAATAATAATCTGATTATTAAAACCTTAATTACATCCTGATTGAATGAATTAAGGGGACAAAATGCTAGGTTTGAAGGCAATCAGAAGTTTTTTCTGAAAATTTGGTATGTTCTACAAAGTATATAATGAAATTAACTAAAATTTTGCTTAAAAAAATGACCAGGATGTACAATGTCATTTTACTATTTGTAAACCTTATGTAGAACAAAAAGGAAGTCATAATCATCAAATGCTTTGTTGTGACAGACTTTTATTCTCCATAAAGTACAAAAAACTAGAAATACTCCTGCCCAATTGTATTCAAGAACAGAAATCTGTATGCACTGGATTTTTGGAGCTAGAGTTCATCTCAGGAAAATACTAAAGGATTAATTCTGTTCTGAAAAAATACAATTTTTATGCATATTAATCATTTTAATAGCATGAATTTCTAACAATACACCAGAAGAAACAGAGCTAGCTCAGGAGTAAATTGAAGAAGCCTCATATATTTAGCAATATTATAAAGCCAACTTTTTTCCTGTATTTTATCTCTGCTCAAATTCTCTGAAAAACATGAGTTAACTGATCTCACAAGTGATTAACAAAAGATCCATCTCATCACTATAGCAACCAGTATTATATCATGGAAGTAACAACACGAAACCATCCTAGTAACCAGTTTATCATAATTAATTATGATATCATGTTGTGTTAAAGAAAAAAAAGGATGAATATTATATCTATTCTGGAAATTGGAAAGAAAAAAAATGTTTTCCTTAGCTTTTATTTTTTATGTTTTATATTTTTAATGTTCAGTATTTGAGTCATGTATCAAACCTGTTGAAACAATGAGTATAAAAGTAGAAACATTTTTGTTATATGAAAAAAGCTTGCCAAAGATATCGAAACACACTGACAATGAAATGGATTGGAAAGTTTTTTGCAGAGATGTAAATCATCTTTGCCCAAGATTTTTTACTATATCCTAGAGAATTGTGGGACTTCCCCTGAAGTAGCAAAGTTTGCACTTTAGGATATTCACACTGTTAACACTGAGTAAGCTGGAACAGCATATGAAACTGACTTCCATATTTCAGCTTGTTTACACTTACCTTTTGAAAGTTAATGGAGTGCAGAATTCTTTTCCAATCCAATTCTTTTTTGGATTTATTGCCTTTTGGTTGGAACACAACTAGATTTATTAAGTAGTTTCACACTCATATAGTTGTAAACTCAAAGCACAATACATCATTGCATATATAAAGAGAAATAAGTGAAGTACTTTTCTGAGAATAAAGTACTGTTGGAAGTGAAGGACTCCAGCATCATAACATCAGAAAATTCAATGCACTGGATTTCAGTAGCAGTGAGACGTGTATTGGTATCTTTTGATACTCTAATCATTACAAGCATCCTACTTTTGTATCAATATAAATGTGTTTGTCAGCAATAGGTTTCATTCTGCTTCTTTAGGTTTATAGGAGCATTACTGTATCTGTGCACTGAAGTTACATTCTTCTTTTGAAAGTAATTTCTGTTAGTGTTTAGATTAAATGTTTACTCCTCAAATTGGATACAGAAAGCATGGAGTCCTTATCTTTATAATATTACTGATGTTCTCGAATGTGGCTGGCATATATTTTTGAGACTTTTGTCCTTTGACTATTTCTTTAGTGAATAACATCATATTAGTTGATCAAAATGTAAATATTACAAGAGAATATCAGCTATCGACCAATAGCAAATACCTAAAAAGTAGGGATACAAAGATTCTGATACAAATAATACTCTCATATTCTATTATTTTAATATCCTATATGTTGAAATAAAGACTATATAGGGCTAGTAAATGCAAATATATTACTCAGAAACATGCATCATTTCTCCTCACATGAAAAAACCCATCACTTGTGTCATGTACTCAAGATTTAAAGAAGCTATTAACTCCTTATCTGGTATTTATTCTTCTCTAATTATATGAGGTTTTTTTCTTTAATGATGTTTTTCTTTCTCTATTTTTTTTTTATTTAGCAACAGCAGAAAAGGACTCAGGTGATTACTATTTGTGTGCATGTCTGCATGTATTACAGATGTAGTGTGTTGTGTCTGTTGTTATTATTTTTCTTGATTTGAACAATACCAAGATAATAGCCAGAATGTTTGTGAATATTAAAATTAATTTGGTGTAGTTTAGTCCGTGTATTTACACTGATACTTAATGATGATGTACTTATTTATTAGCAGTTTACCTAACTTTCTGTTTTGGCATATGATGAAGTTGTATTTTCTGTGAAAGGGGTATAACTAAATGATGCAGAAAAGCTTAATTTGGTTAAATTCAAACGCAGTTTGTGTATTCAGAGAAATGTAATTTCATAGTCCTCTGCAAAAATTGTATCTGTTTCATAACAGGATTGCTCAATTTATTAATGAAGGTCCTGCTAGGAAAACTAATCTTGTAAAACTGGTTTTACTTTTCTCTGATAAAGATTTGTAGTGATAAGCTTTGTTTAGTGATATGTATTTTTTTCTAGTTATATTTGAGGGTTACAAGGATGGTAGCTCTTTGTGTTCCTAATTTCATGAAGATGCTGTGATGTATATTCCCCAGTAGTACAGGGAGGGGGTTTTGAGTTCTTATATCCCAGTATTTAAAAATTATCATACAAAGAGCACAGCTGAAGTAGTACTTGCAGCTGAATAGAACTGGCTGCATAGAAGTATGAGGGATTGTGCATATCTATACTGTGAAATAGAGCTTTGTCTTACCTGACATACATACCCAAAGGAATGTTGATTGTGGTGCTTTGTGGGGTTTCACATACAATAACCACAGTTATGGGAAGGGGCATTGAGGTAGTAGCCTTGTGCTGAACTAATTTTCCATCTGGAAAGACAGACTGGTGTGATGACTACAAAGTTGCATGAATGTAGTTCAAAGAGGAGCTCCTTGCCAATGAGGGGCTTGAAAATTACTCAAAAATTATTTAAACTACTTTTTTTAACAACTGTGTCCGTAACAGAAGAGTCAAAAAGATTCCACTCATTTCTAAGGCTTCCACTGTTTTTTCATTTAAAAGCCTTGCAAATAGGAGATCTATTTGGAATTTTTAAAGAATAGAGTAGGCAATGTGCTAGTGGAATGGATGTTCATGCCAGGTTCTGTTAGGGTGAGCTGATGGGATCTCACATTGCTCAGATGATCTGCTGACCCCTCCAATCAACAGGGAGGGGACTCCAAGGCTCTGAAGGTCCTTAAACAGTTTCTCTGTGAAGGTCAATCTCACAGTATCATATACAAAGCACCTAAAGACAGTTTCCCTTCTAGGTAAGATACCTAAACCTACATAGTACAAATATTCAGTTTAATATTTTTATACCTCTAGGTATTGAAGAAAATACCTCTTGAAATTAGAAATTTAGAATTAATTGAAATTAACAGAAAATAGTTCTAGAATTTTGGATTTTTTTCTTTCACCTCTGTACTCTAAAGCCTTTCCCGTGCACTTTTATACAATGTATACACTTTTGTGCAATATTTATACTTTTTTACTATGTGTATCACCTCAAGTACAAATCTTCCTTGTGCCGCACACTTGCTAATCTTAGTTTTTCTCAGGCTCTTTATGTCGGAAACCCAAAACCATTAACCAGATGACACAGTTACAGGCACATACATACATACATAAATAGAAAGTACTGTACCTGATTTCAGTCATTTTACATTAGGTTTTTCCATGGTTTGAAAGAAAGCATTGCCCTTCTTAAGACAGGATAGTGAAGTTGTCCCTTAAGTGACCTGGCAAATAACAAGATTAGAGACTGGATGAGAGGAAAGCCTATCACATACAGTGAGTAAGTGGAAATTCACTGTGTGAGTTAGCTGAAGCTAGAGGTTTAAAAGCCGTGTTTATAATTTAGTTGCTTAATTAAATAGCAGTTCTGACTAAAAATGCAATTGAAAATTAATCATAAACTCAGAGAAAAAGAATTTTATTGAAAGGAGTATGTAGACTGTGCCCACTGGAGTTTTGTGTAGCACTGAACACATTTCTCTGATGCAAAAGACAAAGCCACTGAGACAAATCCCAATGCAATGATATTTTAGGGCCAAATCCTGCTCCTGTTTTTGTTTCTAGCTGGACTGCTACAGATTTCATAATGAACTTGATGTACAATATTCTTAGCCCTAATACCATATATTGTAGTTTTGTGGAAAGTAAGAAAACCTTTTTGTAGATAACTGTTATTTACTCTTTAATTTGTGCACTATATACTGATAATGAATCTTGAATTTCAGGACTGTCCTTGTTAGGTAATACAGAGGTGAATATGCAAATTCTTTTTGTTGTGAGCACCCTTTCTCAGCAGTGTGGTTGCCAGGTTCCCAGGTCTATTCCCCAAGTACTCTCATTTTCAGTCTCAATTGAACAAGACTCTGTATGTTTTCCCAAAGACAGTGGTTGCTTTCTTAATGGCAAACATGGTGGAATGAGCAGCATCAGGAATATTTGTTAACAGTCAGGATGATGTTTTATTGAGCATCCCCCATCATT